GAATCTCCAACAACCAAATGAGTTCAGGGAGGGAAGGAGTGTGACCTATGAGCTGTCCATTCTTCTTTAGGGCCTTTCATGCTGGGACAATGGTGGAAAATTGGCCATTTGACCAGCTTTGGAGAAGTGGCAGGCCCTGTCGGGATAATAGTGCTGCTGATTTACAAAATTTCTTTGAAAGTGACCCGGTCTGCAGCTGGAGTTAGTYGTAGTCTAATGGAAGCCCCCAGGGACGGCGATGGGAAGGCCAAAGCAGACTGTCAGAGGAAAGGGTTGACTTTTTAAAATASTCCTTATTTGGCTCCTTTTCTGCAAGTCGCAGAGGCTGCAGACTTCTCTGGAGGGTAAGAAGCAGAGGAAGTAACGTTGACCTTGGAGATGGTTATGTTAGGAGGTGAGGTGTCCCCCAGAGCTCCCGTGTGAGACAATGCAAGGAGGTTCAGGGGTGAAATGAMGGGATGAGAGCCTTGACCTCATCAGTGGATCAGTCCCCTGATCGGGATGAACTGGGTGGTGGCTCTGGGCAGGGGGTGTGTGGCTGGAGGAGGTGGGTCCCTGGAGCTGTGCCTGGGGGGATGTGTTTTGTCCGYGTGGAGCAGTGCTCTCTGCTTCCTGAGGGTCCCGTCCTGAGCCTTTCCAACTCCACTCCTCCGCCATGATGTGCCGCCTCACCCAGAGCCCAAAGAATGGAGTCAGCCATCTGTGGACTAAGACCTCTGAAAACCTGAGCCCCCAAATCAACTTTCCCTCSTCTCATTGTTCTTGTCAGGTCTTTTGGTCACAGCAGGAGAAAAAAAAAATAAGATGGATCACTGATCTGGGATTTGGAGCTCAGGTCCAAGTCCAAAYGCTCCGTGATTCTGGGAAAGTCTCTGGACCTCTGTTTCGGTGAYCCCTAGAGCCCTGTTCTTCCAGTAGAGAGAGGACTTGCTTTGCATCCACCCGGATCTGAGGGTAGGTCTCAGTTCCACCATTGGCCRTGAACGATCTCAGCGTCGGAGCCGTCACAGGTGAAAAGGAAAAACRCCTTCACCTGGGGTCCTGGGAGCCTTGACCAGGGAGCCGAGATTGGCCCACGTGGGGCAGGTGTGTAGGAAAGGCCACTTCCGTCCACCCCTCTGCCCTGGGTGGGAGGGAGCAGCTGGGCTGAGTCACTCCTGCCGCCCAGMGGCAGAGGACGTGGCTCACCTTCACGGGGGGCCAGATCATGAACGTGTTCCTTGGCTCCACTGGGTTCCTGAGCTGAAGTGCGGTCCCCAGGGCAGCCTAAGTGTTGAGAAGTCCCCAGGGAGCCCCGGAGCTGGGCTATCTCTCAACATCACACTGGAGACCCAGGGACCAGAGAGGTGGCTGCCAGTGGGCTCAGGTGACACACCTAAGAAGGAAAAGCCCTGGGGATGCGTTTTTGAAGGCCACGCTACCGGTCGCCTCTCAGTGGCTCATTGAATGACCAGCGTGTCAACCTC